AACAAAAACTTTCCACTTAAATGCTACTTTATATTTAACAGGATTAGTTGTACTTCACTTGAATATTTTATGGGTCTTACTGAATGCTATAAAATTGTTCATTAAACTCAGAGGAGAATCTAAATAAAGCAAATCTGCCAGCTATATTTACAACATTTCATCTAAAACATTACACTTGCCTTCCTACAGCTACACAGGTTTTTGTTTGGTTAGGGTTTTTTTTGTTTGTTTGTTTGTTTGTTTTTTACCAGAGTTCCTACATAAAAGCACAGAGTCTGGCCCATTTCATGCCATAACTGAAAAGATTTCTTTGGAGACTGCTCTTTAGCTTTATTCTCAAGGAATATGGCAGCCTGCATGTTCAATGACCAAATGATTTATTTTTAAAATGCTCGCATGCAACAGAATCCAAAATCTAGGCTGCACCTGCAGCTCTTGATGCTTCCCTGCCTGTATGTCTGCTTGCTAAAATGGGAGATGAACTTTTCACCCCTTCCATTTCTTTGTACTGCCACCAAAATACAAGTGTCTCAGTAGACTTTAAATGGAACCTAGAGCAACAGAGACCCTGCAGTCAAGTAGATAATATATTTAGTTAGGAGGAAAGGACTCCTGGGTTGTCTTTCAAAATACTTTTTTTCTATCCACTGATTGCCATCTGAAACAGGCAGATTTATATATTAAAAAAAAAACAAAAACAAAAACAAAACAAAACTCCCCCTAAAATCCCCTAATTGAAACCTTGAAGCAATGAAGTATGGTGCACAGCTATCTTTTTTCTCATCCAGAGGCATTTACAAGTCTCTCTAGCCCTCTGCCTCTCACAAAACTTGAAAAACATACAACATTCACTCAATAGGGACTTGTTCAATGTGTCCTAATTGCTCTGAAAGCACACGATTTCATACAAATTGTCAGAAAGTCTCATGTGGACGGATTCCAGAAACCTGGGATCACCCTGGAGCAGGCTGCAGGGGAGCTGTGTCACCTCGCTGAGCACAGAGTTTCTCACTTGTCTGCTCCAGGCAGTCCTGACCTCAGCACACGGGTTTCAGAGGTACCTGAGAAACTGTCCAGGGAGCCCAGGACCCTACAAATAGCGTCCCTAAAATTTAACTTGTGGTAGCTGTAGACACCTTTTTTTTTTCCCCCCCTCTAGATGTTATCCACAGATTAAAGTATTCCTTTTCTAAATTCAGTCTCCAAAAGAGCAGACATCTAATCTAAACTGTCAGATTTAGTTCTTCCTATAGTCTATAAAGAGATACAGGCACCTCAGAAGGTAGTTTAACCCATCTAGCTTAAAAACCCAGTTTTAGATGCACTGAATGTTCTTTACTCTTCTTGCTGCTGTAGTTGTATTATCTGTGCTACTTTAACTATAAGAGCTGCATTACCTTTGCTTCTTTAACTATAGATAAAGCCTAGATACCCAATTTAAACTGCACAGGTAACTCTTGGGTGGCTATTTCAAGAAGAGTTGAATTCTACCCTCAGGAGCAAGCTAAGCAGCATCATGGCTTCGAGGATGTCATACTAATGGCCGTGCCAGAGTATCTAAAAAAACCCAGAAGTTTGAAACTAATCTCTTTAACCATGACAGCAACAAAAATCCTGTGCAACTATGTGTGACATGGGGCCACTTTCTCAGCCTCAATGCCTTCATGGGATTTTCATTTAGGCAGGCATCTTCTGTTCAGAAATACCTGAGAAAGCTCAGCCATATTGTTAAGGTTGCACCTTCTCCACCCCTTAAAAGGCCACATTTTAGTTATGATGGCAGTAACACCAGTACGGTTTAGGTCTTGAGTGATACTCTGCTGCAAAACTCACCAGTACAG